TCTAAAATAATTATTTTTTTTGATTTTTGTTATCTTGTTTTTCATGAATATTTTACAACAATATAAAGAGCAATGTGTATTTTCCATTAATATAGTTTGTAATGGCTTTTTTTGTCATAGATTATAATCATATATTTTTTGGATTTGTTATTTATCTTTATAATGAAGTTGTCTGTATTAAGTAGATTGTGTTTAACACACACAAGAGTGATTTATTAGTTCAACACATAGTTATAGAAATTCTACTTTATCTAAAAAAAACCCTGCACTTTATACACACACACACACACACACACACACACACACACATAAATACATGTAAATAAAAATCCAAAAAAAAAAAAAACATCAAATGTGTTTTTAGTCAGAGTATTATTTTATACAGAAACAAATATTTGTAATTCAGATAAGAATGAAGTTAGTGTTTTAAAATCTTAAGGAAAACAAATATATTGAAATATAGCACATGAATTTTAAATTCATTCAACTTCAATTACAAATACAATCTTACTTTTATTTAAAGCAAACTATACATTTAAAAGATGGGGGTTATATGCCTATTTTGTCATTTAAAAATATTGTTATGCAAAATTGTTATGCAAAAAGACAAGGACTTAGAGACAAGGACTTGTAGGAAAAATCGCAGCCAGCCACACACACACACACATAAACACAGACAACAGCCCTCCCCTCCCCACACAGACACACACACCCACACACACACACACACAGAGAAGAGAGAGAGAGAGAGAGAGAGAGAGAGAGAATCGCAGGGGAATAAATCCATTCAAACTACAATATCTGACTTTCTGTTGCTCAGAGCGAATGACTTTAAATTGGAAAGTTGATCGGCTTGACGAGAACAATATACGTGGTAAGTTTTGTAACTGTAGGTAAATTGAGCAAAGTTATAACACACTTTATGTGTCCTTTTTTAGTCATAAAATTCATTTCCTCGCCACGGCCAGACCGTTCGAGATATCAAAAATCCGTCCGGAATTGAGCATCCTCAATGTCTTGACTTCATGCACACCGAGTTTGGTTGTGATTGGTAAACACATGCATTGTGATTTGATGTATTTCTCCTAGGACAATTATTCAAACAACCCATAATTCATAATTCATAAATAACTTCCATTTGAACTGTCATAAAACTTAGAGCACGAAAGTTGTTTGGCCTGATGTGATCTTAATTGTACCGAGTTTCATATTAATTCATGCAAGTGTGTTTGATTTATGGACAAATTTTTGAATCCCAGTCCAGGGGGCGCTGTCGAGCCGCCCTGCCACGCCCGTTACCAGCTTCAGCCCGGCCCTGATGGCCATGGGTTCTGACCCGTGTGCAAAGTTTCAAGAGTTTTAGAGGATGTTAAGGCCCCCGAAAATGCCAGAGAAGTTGCACACAGCAAATAAAGGGTTAAAATTAACCTGACAGGCGCCCCTCCTCTCACTCACACAGAGAGACACTGAGAGACTGGCAAAATTCTGAGATTTTCTCTACATTCAAACAAACATATCTGACTTTCTGTGGGTCCTAGCTAATGAGTGTCAATTAGAAAGTTGTCCGGCTCGAGGAGTACAATATACATACTGATTTTTGTAACTGTAGATAAAACTAACAACCCCACTTTTGTCAAAAGGTGGCGCTACTGAGCCCTCACCACACCCCGTTTCTGAAACGTTGCACATGTCTACTGGCTAATAAATGTGATGTGTCTGTCGAGTTTCATGCAATTTGAAGCATGCTAAGAGTCTCAAAAGCATCCTAAAAGAATGGTAAAGTTTGATGCGTTGCCACGGCAACAGTTTCAAAGATATCAAGAATCCATTTACAGGTCTTCATCTGCCATGTATTTGCATTATACAGATGAAGTTTGAAGCAAATCGAGTTAAAATAGAGGGTGATTTCAAAGCATTTTGAAAATGACACACTTCCTGCTGCCAGTTGGTGGCGCTATAACTTTGACTCACAATAGTCACATCCATGTGATCGTCCTCTTACAGCGAACACACTGCTGAAGTTTCATCAAGATCGGTTGATGTGTGCTGAAGTTATGATACACTTCCTGTTTCACGTTTCTCGCCATAATTTTGTTTCCTCGCCACGGCCAAACCGTTCGAGATATCAAAAATCCCCTCGCAAACTTTCATCCTCAATGTCTTGACTTCACGCTGACCGAGTTTCGTCGAATTTGGATCAAAGCTCTAGGAGGAGTATTAAAAATTCCATTGCGAGTGTTTTACGAACAACCCTAAATAGCCGACTTCCTGTTGGGCTGGGGTAAAAAGTAAAAAGCACGAGGTATAGATGAAACGATGAGATCAACATGTGTACCGAGTTTCATATTATTACATGCAAGCGTGTTTGATTTATGGACCAAGTGTTCGGACCCCGTTCCAGGGGCGCTGTCTAGCCCCCCTGCCACGCCCGGGTACCATCTTCAGCCCGGCCCTGATGGCCGCGGGTTCTGACCCGTGTGCAAAGTTTCAAGAGTTTTGAGCATGTTAAGGGCCCCAAAAGTGCCCGAATAGTCGTAAATAAATAATAATAATAATAATAATAAATATAGCTGCGAGCAGCGATGAAGGGCCCAAGCCGGTGGCACCGCAACCCCGGTTCCTTAGTTACCTAAAAGCACCAGGGTGGCCATGCCACTGGCTTTGGCCCTTCATCGCGGATCACAGCTATTATATATATATATATATATATATAATAACACTGTATATATACATATATATATGAAGCCGGTGGCACCGCCACCCTGGTGCCTTTAGGTTTATTGTGCACGACATGCAAAATGTAACCCTGCTTTGACTGATGCAAGCTCTACAGCACAGTTTATAGTAAGAAAGAATATAGTAAGAAAGAAAAGTAAGCTGTTACTCTGAGATGGTTTGGGAAACAAACATTCATCATGTCGCATTTGGTTTTAGTTACTTGTCCTCGAACAGAGCCCTAATCTGTTTATATTTCAGTTACACATTCTACATGATTAAAAAAGAAAAATCAAATGTGTTTTTAATTCATACAGAAATAAAATATTTATAATTCAGCTGAGAATAAAGTTAGTTCAAATTTTAAGAAAAACAAATATATGATCTGAAATATAGCACATTCATTTTTAAATTCATTCAGGTTCAATTACCAAAAATACAATCTTAATTTAATTTAAAGCAAATAATAAATCTAAAATATATGGGTTATATGCATATTTTGTAAAAAAAGAAAAAAAAAAAGAAAGAAAGATATATATCCAAAAACACAAGGCCTTAAACTTTAACAAGGGTGCAACTCTTATCACTACAACAAACATAGTCACACACACAAGTCAAGTCACTTACATTTTATATGCAATATGACTTTTTAGATGCAATATTGACTTTTTTCTGTTTCAGCAGAGAAAATAGTTAAACAAAGATCACAGCGACCCATCGCGCATCTCAAAGCAATGTGTTTTCTCATTACTGAATGATTCAGCATTTTGAATCCATGACTCGTTCATTAAGACGGTCATCTGGCGACACCTTATGGTGATTTAGGGTTATGTTTAAAAGTATCGTTCTTTACAGCGATTTTTAATTGACTCCTGTTAAACCAATCTCGTAACATTTATTGTGTAACCGATTCATTTGATCAGCCTTACCTAGGGTAACAGCCCTATAGTGTCTTATTATTCTAAATTATTGAATTTTTGATCAAATTTACTAATGAAAAATGAAGCATACATTTATTAAGACTAGGCTGCCCTGCAGATATTAGGCTACAATATGCAGATTTAAATATACCATTTATCAAATAATCTGTTTATTTTTAGGTTACACATTACATTGTTTAAAAATAAAAATCAAATGTGACCCGCTCTGGCGAAAATGAGTCGGAAGTTGCAACCTTCCATTTTAAATATGGGCCGATTATGTGGAAAAAAACCATGAAATAACAAAAAAAAAAAAAAAAAAAAAAAAAAATTTTTTTTTGCTTTTTCAAAGAACAGACATTCAAAAATAATCTCACAGGGTTTCGTAGTCGAGATAATTGAGTAAAGGTATTTAAA